AAAAAAAAAAAATAAATAAATAAATAAATAACTGTTATTTATTCTAGATACCCTTCACTCCACCATAGTTAACATGTTCATTTCATTGATGAATTTGTGCACATTGAATTCATGTTCTTTCTCCATTTCTGTAAAAATGTCAACTATTTTCTTTGCGGTTATTTACTAACATACTCCTTTCCTTCATTCTGAAATTGTGACAGAGAGATATCTGTTTACTCTTCTCATTCTATTTCTGCACATATTAATTTTCTTTTCTTTCCTTTTTTTCATCTCTAGGGTTTCTGTGATGGCTTCTGAAAAAGAGAATAAATATTCTACACCAATATGATATTTATCATTTTAGCTGTGTCTTGTTCTGGATGAAATTATTTCTAAATATGTTGATATAATTTACTATTTTTCACATCACTATAGTTTCCTAATTCATTTCTATAATTGCCTGTATTTTCTCTAATGAACTCTTTGATTTTTATTCCTCTGGGGTGGTTTTTCTCTCACATACCTGATCTTCGTTAGGGTTTCTCAGGGCTGTCTGAGGAATGAAAACTGATGAGAGTATTGCTGTAGTGGCTCCTGCCTTGCAGTGTCCACGCTCCCAAGATTAGAATCAGCTCCGTGTTGTGCCTGGCACAGCGGGGCCCTTGTGAGCCTCACACTCATGGGTGAGAGATGCCCAGTCCAACAGTGATAAAGTGTGTTTGTGTTATGCGCACTCGGGAAAGGTGGCTCAGAGCTGAGTGTGGCCTGGGTCACTGAGCTGAGCTATTTCAGGGTCTGTCCACAAACACAGAAGAGAGGGAGCCACAGTCTCTCCATGGTGAAACCGTTTCCTAAACTTCGTTCTTTGTTCTGAGAGAGAGAAAGATAAAGTGCCATGAGCTCTGTGGGCTGGACAGATGTATGTTTTCACCTGCAGGCTTGAATCCAAGCTGAGGTCTTTAGCATTCCCAGCTACTGATAAAGCACCTTAGGTTATTTCTGGAAAACACTGAAAATTTAACCCTTTTGCTAATGATGTATAAACAGGCCCTGCCCTGAACAAAATTCCTGAAACTCTCAGGTTAAACTTCATAACCCAGTCCCTTCACTGCGGACACCCAATAGGCAAGCCACAGCTCCAAGGATGAGATGACTCTTTTTTTTTTTTTTTTTT